TGTGTGAAAAAATGAAGGCATCCTGGTTCGCTCCTGCCACTTGGCCATACGTTCGTATCAGTTATTCTGAGGTGGGGAGGGGGCTGAGGCTGTTGTCGTGATGCCACCACATACATGAACACATGGGTTTCCACACACAATGCAAACACTGAAGGGGATCAGGAACATCAGCATGTTTGATGAGCTCCCACAGATAACGTCTCTGCAACATTTCCATGACATTGTAGCTGTGTTACCTCATTACCACAATGTCACAGCAGTGGTGTGATGATGTTGTGTTTGGGCGGAGGGTGGAACAGTGTGGCACTGATGGGCTGGAGGGGGTTCAGCTGCAGGTATCTGGTCTTTGCAGATGAGCTGATTAATTAAAGGAAGCTCTATTAAGGTTATTGAGAAGCACCCCCCACCCTCTTTTCCCCATCAGCCCCTCAGTGCCTGCTCATTGGATAAAGGTGAATGGAGCACAGGGGACAGGAAGCCTCCTTGCCGCCTTTGACATTACCTGGCATGTACCTGCTTCACATGCCTGCGACTCTCGCCACAAGTGCCTCTTTGCAGCCCACCTCTGCTCGTGTGACACTCTCCCTGGGCTCCAAAATGGAACTGCAGTGTTTTTAATCCCTCCTGCTCGTCAACCCACCCACCCTTACTTCCATCTGTCACCAGCACGGCTGGAGGAAAAAAATGGGGGATGGTTCTGAAGGGGAGTGAAAGGGGTGCATCCCCTGTTCCATCTCAACGAATTTTCTAATTTCCTTTGCCTCCGTGCTTTGTCCCAAATTCTTGCTCTTTCACCTACTCTGCTGGCCTTTTTTCTTTTCGTCCTCCATTACGCCCACACACTTCTTCTCTGTTGTTTTATTTGACTAAAACGGTGGACCTGGGTTTGCTCCTGTTGTGTTTTAAAGCGGTACCTAATCCCATCACGCCAGGAATTGAAGTCACATGTGCTCCTGTTCCATTATGTACAAGCTTCGTTATAATTTGCTGTAGGTTATTTTACGCCTTTCTTGTCTCCACATAATTAATTAAAAGACTGGAGTGAGACAATGAGGACCATATGCTGAAATCTCCCAAACGAAATTAGCCATACATGAGGTTATTTAAACAGACTTTATGCAAATCAAGTGAAGTTATGTAAAGAGACGGGGGTTAATAAGCCAGATGAGTCAGAGTTGGGTTTTTTTTTAATTATTATTTATTTTCAAACCTTCCATCAAAAGTGACATCTTTATAGTGAAAAGAAGTGAGGCCTTAACCAATTATTTAGTTTGAATAAAACACTGAGACAAAAACCGTTCATTATATTCACGCGTGACAGGTTACATGGAATGTTTTGGTCACAGTTTTGATGGGAAGTGACTTAAGCATTCATTTATAATTACACATCATCATGCACAAAGATTACAGCAGGTAGGAAGCTTTAAGTATAATGAACTGCTGTCAGCTTAACTTCAGGACAAGAACAGCCCCATCTGCTGTTTCTGCTGGGCTGAAGTCAATCACAGGCAAACTTCATGTTTCAACGTGGCTGCAGTATTTATGGCAAGCAGGTGAAATTGAAGATCATTTAGAATTTGTTTCATTTTGTAGTGTAGATCAAACAAATCATAATGATCAGAAATATAAACCAAGGTGAATATATGTACATGTACATTGTAGACATAAATATATGTCCATATATGTGGGTAGAAAATGTAGTCATACAGTCATACAAAAACAAAACTGTGAAATCAGCAGATCTGAACACAGACACAGCTAAAATGGAGCCTGGTCATGAACACACACACACACACAGTACAGTTTTTGGCACTTATTCACTTCAAGATGCAAATGGTTAAAATTGAAATTCAGCCTCTCTGTGTGTTATGCTTGGCTACTTTATTGTTGTATCTGTGCTGGGGATTATTCTCTATGTAGTGGAAAAAAACCTGTGTTTGAATGGCAGTGCCCTCAAAGTAGCTCCTACAGCTTTCAATGGCCTCCAAACCAGATTAGCCCTGCAGCTGCCCCCACCCTCGCCCGGTCCCAATCCTCTGCATTCACATGGAGCGTAACCAGTCTGTGTGACACTTTCTCTGTTTTGACACTGAGTGGATGCAGTCACTGCATCTCGGGCAGTTTTTTGGAATTGAGAGGTCAGAGCGGAAAAACGAATAAAAGAAAGGAGAAATCCCTATTGTTGATGACCGTGTTGTGTAGTTGTAGTTTTTTTGCAGGGTCTCCTGGCTTTGTTTCAAGTTGTTTCATGTTTGTTTCAATATGCAAACAGTTAGTGTTTTTCAGCACTATCGTGACAAGTATTTAAGATGACAAAACAAAATGAAATAGAAAAAACTAGTAGCTCTAGGTCGTAGGAACACGTTTTTTTCAGAGCATGAATTTGCGTAAAAATAAATCCACATTGAATTTTAAATTATTCAGATTTTGGTGATAATTATTTTTATGTTGTGAAAGCATAAATTACTTTATGAATAATAACATCCTACATTGTCCTGGTGCTGCCCTCATGTATGTATGTGTATATATATATATGTATTTATACATATATACGTACATACACATATATGTCAACCTATATTGCAGGATAATCAAACTATATTCACAGTTCCCCCTACAGTCCAGGTAGGAGGAAAATACATCCTCTAAAAATCTTACCTTTGACTTTTGTTCCTTTCTGTATTCACATATTCTTAGTCACTCTAATCAAGGTTATATTCCTTATAAAAATGTTCTTCTTAAAAGTACTGCAAGAGCACTGAGGCGATTTTATGCCACTTAAAACACAACATTTGTTCCTTGGCATTTTTCTTAATTATTGGCTGTGCAAAAGTACTTGTGTCCAGTGATACATCCAGGACAACCCTTCAGAGCAGGAACTCTTCCTTTGGCGTGAGACACCGCTAAGGGTGGACGCTAGGCTGCAGCAGTTTCTTCTTCTGCGTACTGCAGCTGTGGCGATCACCACAAAGGCTCTCTGATTCACAGTAGTTACATTCACATCAGTCATAAATCACACAGTTACATAAATAAACAAGCAGTACATAAAAAGCATGTTTATCTAACAAAATGTTCTCCTGGTGGAATGTTTTTCTTTTGTATCTTCAGTCTCCTCGTACTCTTCTCTGTAAGTCATTTAACTCAGTGAATGACAGACTCTATTCACTAATACCTACTGCACCCTTCTTAAGAAGAAACCCGGCTGGGAACAGGAATACTGCTACATGGGGACTGGAGTCTTTCTGGGTCCAGTCCTACTTTTAGCAGAGGTTGATGGTCTCTGGCTGTGAGAAGCAGGTTTCTGACCTGGGTTGAGCTCCTTCCTGCACTGAGGCCTGCACTGCTTCACACTGGTCTGAGTGTCTCTGTGTTTCACAGAGGGATGAGGCTGCAGTAGACAGATTCATGGTCACACCAGTAACACTGACATCAAATTAATTAAAAAACATATCTAAAATATTCTGTATTAGATAAATATGGCACCATCTAGTGGTGACTGAACAAATAGAGCACTGAGGCATTTCAACACTCATATTTTAGTATGAATTGTTTTAAATTCAGTTCTAACAATAAATAAATTGCAGAACATATTTTATAAATTGATTTTTTGATAAAAGCTTTTTTTTTAATTGAAGTTAAAAAGGGCGACAAAACCTTTGTGGTTGTTGGTGGTTGAGACAGTTCCCAGTTTTCTGAAATATTTTTGCACTCGTCCAGCTGGAAGGTAGATTCTCTGCTGCATGTAGTCTTCAAAAATAAAACAGAAATACACATTCTATCTACCTGTGTGCTGGACAGTCAGCATGTCTAAAGCCCATGTTATTTGTTGACCACACAGCATGTTTAAAGATACATTTAAGAGGTGACTGATCATTTCATCGAGATTTAAAAACGGACAGATTTTTATGTTATCCTAAAAGTCCCATCTCACCTGTTTGTTGCATGTGAACTGTGAGTAGAATCCACTGCCTCTGTCCACGCTGATCTTAGAACAGCTCCTGCAGTCCTTTTTGATTGAATCTGTTCTGGTCACCACGGTCAGGTCCATGTTGTCCTCAGATGAGGAAGAAAGAGACAAGTTCTCCAGAGTTTGTGCTCCTGGAAAAAAGAAGAAGAAAAAAAACAGTTTAATAAATGTAGATAAATCAATTTGTCTTGTTCGTTTGAAAAGTAGATCCAAGCTACACAAAAAAGTGTGACATCCCTAGACTATAAGATAATCAAAATATTATAATCCCCAAATGATTATTTTGTGAGACATTTAGGCCATATCATAGAAAAAAATGATTCAGAGGTTCAGCTAAGGTTAAACTAACGCAAGAGATACAAAAAAATGAGTAGGAAATGCAGAGTTCATGCAGGGAAATAGTCTAGAATAACATGACATCAAAGAAGGGGAAAAAAACAAACTACAGGCTCTAGGCAAAACATTTAAACTCATCAACAACAACTCATTGATTAAAGTAGCCAATACACGACACTGAGACTTCGTTACTGCCTTACTTTCTTCCTCCTTCCTGTAGTCCTGCATCATAATCAGCACATTGGAGGGGATGGCAGGGACATCAGTGTCGCCCTGTTGAACAAAGACCACAGAGTGACTTCTCACGTGACTCTGCTTTGGTTAATGAGTGCAGCCTGTAGAATCACTTCCTTACTGTAATCCATGGGGTTTCCAGCAGCTGTTTGGGAGAGACTCTGTAGGCAGGGTCCACCTTCAGGAGGCAGGTCAGCAGATTTTTGGCTGCAGAGACCAACTCAAAACAATGAGTGACTTTGTTAGTAACAATCTGACTGCAAACAAAAACAAATGCAGGGCTTTGACATCACTGCGATGAGGATAATAGTCAACCTGCATCACTGACTGTGGCCCAGATTGGCTGAGTAAATGTGACCTCTTTGTTCATGATCTCCTGGAGTAAATGGGACTTTGTTTTTGACACGAACGGAGGCTCCCCACACAACCTGAGGCACACACACACATACACACATAAATGAGTAAACAATTTTATATCTACAGTATGTGTTTGTATGCAGGTTTACTCACAGCATATACATAATGACTCCTATGCTCCAGGCATCGCACCACTGGGTGTAACCTCGATCGCTCATCATTTCAGGGGCTGAAAATAAAATTTACATTTTGATCTCAATTATTTTGAGGTTGGGAAAATAATGCAGATCCCAAACAAATAGACATGTCACCTCTTTCCAAAGATGTCTTATTTAATACCAGTCATGAATATTTTACTGAGGAGTTTAAGATGAGAATTTCAAGATTAACGTCCCCCCTTTAAGCCAACCAATGAGGTGCACAGGTGTACTTTTACGGTAAACTTGAAAAGGAGTCTACACAGTAACCATGTCCCATCTAGGTTGAAATGACCAAACAAGTTAACACTGAGTGGTTTGACAGTCATGACATTTTCAGTATGAATAAGGATATGTATTAGAAAGAATCTAATGTTATTCAGCACTTTTCACAAACACCTCATGTTTATCTTTGTTCGAGTTTTTTTGATTCATACAGAACAGATCCTCACGACTGTACAGTTAGTGCGTGTGGATGTTAAACCTCTATGTGTAGGATTTTCAGTGTCTCTCAGTAACCCCTCCCTCCACCAACCCACCCACAGAGTCCACAGATTCAGTGGCAGATGGCAAAGCATGTGGGTGCATCACTCAGTCAAACCTATATCTCTGGCCCTGGTCATCTGTGTGGTGTCATACCCATATAGATGAGTGTCCCACAGGCCTCCGTCATTATGTTCTCAATCCCAACACCACCTGTTTGCACAGATAATCCAAAGTCTGCCACCTACAAAATGAGAATTTCTCATTATCGATAAAAAAAAAACATTAATAAGACTGAGACGCGGTGGAGACTGTTGATGATTTACTCTGCAGTAATAAAAAACACAGACATTACTGAAAACACAAATGACCGGCTTCTGTGAAATGGCCGTGATTCATCCCGTGCCCTGGCAACAATTTCTAACAACATGTACAGAACATGAATGTTTGCATATGTGCATGTGTACGTGCGTGTGTGTGTGTGTGTGTGTGTGTGTGTGTGTGTGTTAGAGACAAAGAGTAAAGCACAGAGTCTGCAGTGCTAATGTTGTGGTCCAGCCTGGCAGTAGCTCACACATCAGGTGTCTGCCTTGGCTGCCTGTCAATGTGCGACACACGCTGTGCCCGGCTGGTGATGTGTTTAGGGACACGTTTAAAGGTGTACTTTCAAGGAACACCAAAGGAGGTCTGTCATAATGAGGTAGTGTTTTTAAAGTCTCTACTAAATACAGAGAAGAAAAAGGAAAGAAAGAAAAAACTGTCCATCAAAGCCGTCTGTAGTCCGACACAGACTATGAAAGTGTGATTAAAAGTTTTCAAAGTCTCAGTTCCCGTCTTACCTTGATATTAATCCTGCCACTATCCCCTTCATCAGGATCCTTTTTCAGCAGAATGTTTTCAAGTTTCAAGTCTCTGTGAACTATGTCTGTAGGACAGGAGTAGAATACAAATTTCAATAAAATAGGAAATCTTTTTTTATTTAAAAAAAGAGACGATAATTCCACATTTCTTCTGAATGTAAATGCCATAGAACAGAAGTGAACCAGTACAAAATGAACCACCCTGTCGCCAGCATTTCTTCGAATTAAAGCTACAAACGGAGCTGAGCCACACAACTGAACAAACAAATAAAGCAAACAATCGCAGCAACTTTAAGCCAAGAGATTTTGTTGAAACAAAATTATTCTGGATACCACAAGCCAGTGTTTCATTATTAGCATCGTATGTCCTTCAGAGCAGAGTAGAAGAAGTAAATAATAGATTGTTTTCCCATGAACACCACCTGTAGTCAGCGCTGCTACGAAAAAAAGATTTATTTAAATTAGTCATTAACCATTTGAAATAATCCTCTTATTCTTTCATAACCGGTAAGCACAGATTTCAACCAAATAAAGCATTTTTCAAATTAAACTTCACACTTCAGTAATAATGAGACAGTTTATTAGTGTTTTTCTGCAGGCAGATATTTCTTCTTGTCATCTACGCTGCCACTTCCTTCTGTTTAAAAGTTAAAGTTGTAGAATTTAATCATTTTGTCAAACTAATAATTTGAATTAAACGGTGGGCTTTTCAGGGTTTCCAAATAAACGAAAGATTCATACAAAAGTTATCCGATCTGTCATTTTTAACGGCGTATGCTGATGGGTTTATCTGCAAGAAATATTATTTGTGTGTCTCTCTATTTTTGGGTTTTCTCTTGCAAGTTGCCTGTCAGGTTCTTTTTGGGAACACAGCATCAACCAGTAGAAGGAAGACCCAGTGACAGGGTCTAATACAATCTACAGGAAGACAACTGTATTGTTGAGTTCAAACCATAGACCATTCATACCAAAAAGACGTATCTACTGTATATTATTGTCACAGGATAAAGTTGTAAAAAAAACATGATGTTCATATAGGTTGACTAAACACACTTCACAGGATTTGGACTTTTTTTGATCCACAGTACTGATATATTTAAATATGGAAAGCCTGTACAGGCACTTTATGAGATGTAACTGATAACAAATGGCTGTGAGGTAAGTAGAGCAAGCTGTCATCTTGAGGCTGTCAGCAATTCTGTTCTACTACGCGCATCTGTCAATCACAGGTTTAAAAAAAAAAGAGCGAAAGAGAGAGAATGCAGCTTTAGTGGGAAATTCTCAATGACTGGGCAGAAAGACTGTTTCACATACTGTCTTCCAGGTATTTACTACCACTCTGTGATATCATCACGTGTTTCACGTTGTATTGATTGGCACCTGGTCATCACAGTTTGTATTCCCTTAACTGGGATCTGATCTCTTTTTTTGTTCTTTTACAAACTCCACGTTTCTTAGTTTTAGTTTCCACACCTGTTTGCTGCCTGTGTTTAAATGATGTATTGACAAAACACTAGAACACTTCTGACTTCGAATTGATTTCAATACAGTCCAAATGGTGGACTGATGTTACCTCTTTTGTGCAGGTAGACAATTGCGTCAGCCAAGGCACAGATTATATGTCTGGTCTCGTCCTCTCCGAAGAACTTTTTCCGCCTCAGCAGCTGCTTAAGATCACCTCCTGTGCATAACTCTGTAACCAAATACACAGTCTGAAGAGAAGCAGAGAGACAAATAACATGTCACTATATGCATGTGTGTGTGTGTGTGTTTAATAAAAATGCTTATGAAGACACAAAGTAGTTGGAGATTATGACATGTCGCACGCATCGCTTGGATCCCGCTCTTTTTAATTAGGTCTGCTTTGGGTCTTCTGACTTGGGGACCTCACCCGTGGCGTTTCATAGACTTCCTTCAGATGTATGATGTGAGCATGATTCACTTGTTTGAGGATGTTTATTTCCTGCTCCAACATCTTGACTTTTGAACTTCCCGCCTGGAGCAGTAGAAGATAATTTCATGTTTATTAGCGAGCTTGTGTGTATATGTTTTTTCATAAAACCAGGGAACAAATCATTCTTTTCAGTTGTTTTACATCAACAAAAAAGGCAGACTCTCCCCCAGAGAGGCCACACGTACTCACCACTGGTCTGCATGCCTTTTTAATTGCCCAGTACGTCTGGGTCTCAGTGTGTGTGGCCTCATAAACAACTCCAAAACTACCTTGACCTAATTTCTTCCCAAATTCATAAATTTCCTAAAGGGAGAGAGAAGAAAGAAAAGGTTGGAACATGTTTAATCTGTACTTTTTGTCAGTGAATTCATTTTGCCGCACACCTGAAATCTCCAGTACATCCTAATTTCAAGCTCTCTGAAATAACTGAAAGTTTTCTGGTCCCCTGGAGCTGCACAATATAGTATTTCTAATCAAGTTACAAATGATTAAGTTGCTGCTGCAGCTCCTTCAATCTCAGGTCTAATTAACTTGATCATTATCTGTGTGCATGCAAGGCTGAACACTGGCTGCTCTGAATTTGGCAACGGGAGAAGTCAATGTCCCAGTGAGGGTGACGGGGAGGTGGAGGTGCAGGTGGAGGAGGGGTGATGGATGCAGCAGCAAAGTGAAGTCTGACCCTCTTCACGTGCAGACAGATTGTACTACAGAGGTCAAACATGAGTATAGGTGACACGGCTGGCGACTGCACCACAAAACATGAGATTGTGAAAGGATCGTGTATCGTCACTCCATACCCTGAGTTCAGCATCACTCTTCAGCCGTATTACAGGCACGTCCCTCTGCAGCGTGTACCTGCTGTTCCGGGAGGAAACCACCTCCATGACAAATCCACTAACATCTGCTTCTGTCATCTAAAGATGGAAGGAGAGAGCAGTCATTATCGCTGTGACTCTGAGCATCAACACATGGAGAAAAATAGCTCGGTGATGACAACCCTCGAACGTAGGTTATAAAGTAAACTGGCTTTTTAAATACGGTTTGAATATTGCTACTACTTTTTAGTCCATTGCTTTTCCTGTTGTATCTTTCTCATGGATGCAGGGTCACCAAATATATTTGTCAGCGGGTCAGAGCTCCTCAGGACAAACACCCCGGGGCCATACGCTAAAAAAAATGATATAAATGATGTTTATCTTAGAATCCAACTGTAGGCCAGATTGAAACGTTTAACGTGCCGGAATAAGCCTGAGAGCCGCCAGTTGATTATCACTGCCCTATATGGTTCTGTATTACAGGGCCACATATAAAGACAAACAAATCCCTTATGGACAAATACAAACTATTTATGAGAACAGTTAACCAAAAAGTTATGGCTGGCATCAACCGAGAGATGTTCTTGTTGTAAGGCAAGAGCCATAACCACTCTTTCATCACAAACCCTACAATTGGCTGATGGACTGATTCTTATCCTGTAGGTTATGACCTAGTTTATAGGACTAGTGTAATATTTGGACAGGTTTAGACCACAGTAATTAGCAAGGTAAGAAAGAGACAACGTTGCATTTACAGAAATGGCTCCTCCTACTGTAGTTGTTCTGTAAAAGTAAAAGTAGAGCTACAGAAAACACAGCTAGTTTTTACTTGATTCATGTCATGTACACATTTTCATAACAACATTATCATTTTAATTAATAGTTAAAATCGTGAAAAATTAAAAAAAAAATTGTGCTTAGTTTGAAGTCTACACAGTGTCTTGCTAAGATTACTTGGAATTCACATTTATGTTCCGTCATAATTTAGTTTGGACTCTATGTTTGCTTTTGTTTTGTATGTTTATAAGGGGAGCAGGAAAATAATGGAAGCGTTTCCCAAGCTCACACCACTGTGTCTCCAGACATCATTTCCAGGAACTTGGATTAAATCAAAAGGTCTCAGGCTTGGACCTCGAGTCCTGCTTTCACCCCGTGTCACTTTCTTTAATCACAGCTTTATGACCTCACTCCTATCTCTGTCTGAGCCCATATTAACTTAAAGCACAATTTACCCAGTTTGCACAACGGTCTCTAAAGGCAAATTAAATGTAAAGCAATTATCAAGTGATGACTGGGAGCAATGAAGTGGATCCAACACACACAGCAATTAATTATTAACAAGGAAGCGGTGTCTTTAACCTCTTTACTCTGATGCTTTATTTTTGCCCAGACAGGCCTCTCATAACAGGCCTGTCTCTCCCATTATCTCCTGTCTATTCTCCAATCAAAACGATTGTGACAGCCACTGGAAAATTCCAATCACCTCAATCACAGCTCATTTGTGGGTGTCAGAGGCTGGTGATGAGTGTATCACTGGGGACTGGAGGAAGTTGTCACACCTCCAGTGCTTGGACAATGTTTTTTCACGAAAGCCTCCAAACCCAGAAAAAAAACAACAACATAATCCTGACATAGCTGAAGTCCCAGTGAAAAAGACGGAACTCCAAATGTTTTGTACTGTGTGTTGATGATTTAACTGTAAGTCACAAAAGATGACCACTGATACTGACTTCTGTCTACAGCAGGGCGGCGGGGGGGGGGGGGGGGGGGGTGGGGAGGGTTGACATTTTTTATATATATCTATAATTCTGCACCTTTAAAATGAAGGTATAAATATATGAACCTCTATAACATGTAGCATGTGTGTAGCATATAGATGTTTTTATGCCCACAATTTTGATGTTACCACAGTGTTAACATAGGTGAGTGACATAGATACTTGTGTACAGTATGTGAGTTCCAACTTACGTTGAAAATTGAGTTATTTTGCACAACAGAACTCCAACCGAAGTAGAAGATTCCAAAACCTCTATATTGACTTGTTCAGAGACGCGTGGATGTCAGGAATGTATGCTTCAAGCCTGAACTTTTCAACTCATTTTCAATCATTTTAACAGTTTATAATAATTTACTGTGCAGATGTCCTTCAGCACAAACAGAGATGGTCTATACATGCTGTTAGCGTCGTTTCACAAAGACTGAGCCACAAAGAAGGAAGTAATAGGAGCCAACAGTTCAAGCCCAGACTTGTCCCACTTCTCCTTCATTACAACAGAGTGCAGTTTTCTGTCTTTACATTGACGCGTGAATAAATATACGTTGAACCTAACGACTGGGAGAGTGCAGGGATCTGTCAGAGAACAAAGAGTCACTGTGTTTTGGGAACAAAGAGCTTTTCTGATCCTGTCAAACACCTTCTCCCTTCAACCTGCTTGTCTTTCATTAACTCGAGGTAAAGTGTATTTACATGTACTCCCATCCTCAATGTCAACAGTACTCTAAACAAGCCCCTGGATTTTTACCACCCACAAGATAAGGATGACAAACAAAAGAAAGAAAAAATATTATTGAAAAAGGTATTTTCCGTTCGTATGTATTTTCTGACATTTAAGCTACCTTTTAGCCATTTACAGTAGGGCTAACGGTTGGCTAAGGTAGCAAGTAGTAAGTAACAATTGGTTTAGGGACTTGTCTGATATTTGGCCATATGTTTTTGCCAACTTTTAGCTATTTTGTATTTACCACAAATTATTAGTTGCTTCTTTCTACTTTTTAAAAATTGTTATTTTTCTAACACTATTTTCTTCTCTACTGTTGAATTACTGGTTTTCTTTTATTTCAGGCTGACTTTAGCCTAATTAGATGTCAAGTGGGCCAGACCAGTACAATCATAACATAGTTACCTATAAATACCAATAAATCAATGTGTTTTCCCCGTTGTTTTTGTGCAAGTTCAAGTAAAATCTTTATATTTAATGAAATATGAAATGAAAAAGTGTTTGCACAAATACAAAAGAAAGAAGCTTTAAAGGTATTTGGAACTGAAAAATATACTGTAGTATTCCACTTTGTAAAAATGTATGGAATTGTTTGAACAATAGGATTGATCTAAAAAGGAAAAACCTTTGGTTTCTTTATTCAACGTAAGATGCACAAGACAAAGCAAAAATGTTTAGAAGATCTTATTTTTAATTGGTTAATAACTGGATGACTGTATTTATTTATTTACAGTCTGTAGATTCATAGATGGCCATTTACACCTTATATCTTTGTATTCATTGGAAGGTGTCCTTGGGTGACAGAAAGGTGCCTATGAAATAAAATGTATTGTTATTATTATTATTATTATAGAATTAAGTCCTCTCTTGAAATAGAATGACATTTTCTCGTGTGGCTCACACTCTGACTTATTTATTGACAGCTTGGCTTTGATGACAAATGATAAACTTCACAGTCCTAATGAAGCATGGAATTACATTACCTGATGAGGCAGGAAATTACATGTTTAGAATGCAAATCTGGAACCCATTCAATTTACTAGGTTATGTAGTGAACTCAAACACTATGCAGAGAGATTATCAAAACTCTGGGCCTAAAATGTAATTAAATCATTAAAGAATAAACAAATCACAGTTGATGGTCTATGTATCTGAGAAAATAGGAGGAAGTCCCAGTTCCTTTTGCAACACAAAGCAAAGCTGTGAAGTCCTTGTAAAAAAAAATAATAATTTAAAAGGCCTGTGCAAGAATTCCTTCTGCCTTCAATGGTCATGTTTGATAAGTGTCCAGGCCAAGAAAACATGCTTTGCCAAAAGCAAGCACAAAGATCAAATTCTGCTGTTTGCTCTGAGCACTCCACGTGTTGCTCTGAGATAAGGGCCAACACATTTGAATTTTTTCATTGGTTTAATCCTGGTTAAAGCTAATCTCTACCCTTGCTGGGCTCAGCTTGGAAGAGCCAGGAGGGCAAACATCTATTTAAAAAAGTGGGACATGGCAGAAACAAGAAGACAATCAGTTCACTTCAATGACAACAGAAGTCAGCACATTGGTATCAGGACACAGTGTCGGCACCGTACGCTGCAAATCATCGTACAGTACGCACGAACGCAACTGGAAGGCACTCAGGACAAAACATGTAGGGCTAATATTATCTCTGTGGTTTGTATTGATGAACAGTAAACATCTCATTAATAACAGCAGGCTGGCAATGAAAAGGTAAATGATAAAAGTAATTAGCAAAAAAACATGATAGTCAGGCAAAGCGCCCCCTAGAGGTCAAACTAGGAATAAGGACAGTTTTGATATGACATGTATCAGTCTTATATTCAAAAATTGTGGAAGCAAATATCAGGATTTTTTAGGTAAACTGGGCTGAAATAACAATAACAAATATAATAACAATAACAACAATAATAATAATGATAATAATTGAGCCCCTTATTTACGTGAGTCTTTGCAACCAACACAGGCTGCCACAAGAGGCGCCATTAGGGATGTGTGGGAATTGAACCCAGGACTCTCTGCTCTCAGAATGTTATATTAAACTGCCTCCAAAGAATGACTTTTGGACTCGGTGAAAAGCATTAATTTCTAAACTTATACTAACACTAACTAACACTAACTTCTTTAATTTAACAGATTATTAGTTAAAAAAACACTATTTTCTCTGTTAAAGATACAACCAAGTTGATGCACTACCGAATGTTGTTTTTGTTCCATTTAAAAGAAGAGATCATACTTTTTTATGTGATGAAATGTTAAGTCACATTTCCTGTCATTAATCATTTCAATAAGATGATTATCTACTAGGTCTCTCCTGCTTCAAGATGAACAAATCTCAGAGACAGAGTGGAGTTTAAGCTCACCCACAGACCACATGGTGTCTAACTATGAGCGAAATCATGATTAAGAAAAGAGAAGCCAGGCTCTGCACCAAAGTGGGACAAGGGACACTGACTAATTCTGCTCCTGATCAGGAACAAATGAGTCAAACCGTCTCTTATTAAAACGTGAGATCACAGACATGAATTCATCTGAGGTTCCTTCCATTTACTGTGAACACGTTGCCGTGGCAACGCAAACGGTTGCATAAACGTTAATTTTAACTTCTGTTTCTAACGAACGACCGAGGTAATTTAAAACCGAGGTAAAGTCTTGTTATTCAAGAGGTTACAAGAGGAGAGAAGAAAAACAATGTTACCTGTCAGAGGAAATCATCCTTAAACAGAAAGAGAAGAAAAACAATGTTACCTGTCAGTGGAAATCATCCTTAAACAGGATTGTTGGTTGTTTCTGCAGCTATGGACAAAAATTAACTTTTTCACTGGGTGCGTGGGTCAGTATGGAAACCCACAAAGGACAAAAGTCAAGATGTACACACAGCGTTAGTCACCAGGGGCGTTTCAGCATCTCAACGCCCCCTGGTGTGATCTTTGACGTTAATGTACATCGCACGACGAAATATATTACAGTGTAATACATGAACAATATCTTGAGCTTGATTTATATATTACAATATTTATATTTCAAAATGTGTTTTTGTTATGTTTGTTGTTTTTATTTATATTTTTGAACAACCCGTTGTTGGTGTGACAAAATATTGGTACCTTTCTAAGGACCAGTAAATATATAATATAAACCAAGTGTATATACTGGCTGTTGTGTAGAATTATAATATCTGTGCAAAACCATCAGCTTTAATTAATCAAATCTGGTCATTACAGGATATGTGGTCTTTTGTAAATAACTCTTTACAAAAGGAAAAACAGCAACAACAAAAAAAAATCTACACAGCTATAGCAAGCAGATGCTGTTATCTGTCTCCATCTAGTGGATACAAAAACTACACGGTATGTCGCTTGTCTGTAAAATTCCCAGTTATCTTTATCCAATACTTTGAATAAAGAATAAAGGGTTTATTTTCTGAAGAAATAAAATGCAATAGGATTAATGGCCGCTCTGTATATCTCATATAACATAACTTTTCCTCCCTTGTATGAAAATAATGTGAATGAAATTTCACTTTTGAACATCAAGTGACAACACTGTAGTACTGTACTTCTATAAAGCTAGTCATATTCATTATTTTCATTATATTTTTTTGTTTTCTACCTTTCAATTCGAATAGTAGTTTTGATTTCTTTGTAAATACAGTATGTAACTATGCATTAAAGAAAACCCGGATGTACAGTATACAGTACATGTATAGTCAATAAAATATAAACTAGTGGTCACATCCATACAGTGAGTCACATAAACATGTTAAATAACCACAGGCTTCCTTCATCAGACTGACTTCAGCCTTTTGACCAAACACATTATTGATGAGTTTGAACGTGGAATTGGAGCCACAGTAAAGTCTGCGGTCTCCTCAGTACTTAAGGGTCTCCATTACACGAGTATGCAGTAATGCTGAGTGTTTCTGGTTGCTGTTCTCTTAATTTACAGTCAGAACAGTTCTAATCATGGATGTCAGGAAATTGATTTATGGAAGCGAAGACATTTAATGCAACCAAAGACAACAGTGAGTAGTTTTTAGAGTTTTACTGTAAATATCTGACTACTGTAGTACAGATGAGAAAATAGATGCTAGGAACTGAAGGAATGTGGTAGTATATTACTTTTCAAATTAATTGATTTGATGCCGTTTGATGCGAGAACCTGGAAATATTGATGTAAATGATATGAAGCCATGAAGATGTGATCTGTTTAACACTCTATAGGTGTTTTACTTGGAGATACTACATGAAATATGGCAGGAATCTAACATTTTTGGGGGAAAAGTTCTGTCTCGCATCATTCTGTATACAGTACAACACTGACCCACTCCTGATGGGCCCATACACACATCTTTCATCATTCACTGGTAGTCATTAGCTCATGAAAGGCTTCATTCCCACCAGACCAGGGTCACGCACCCCCTTACAGCTTCCCACTCTGACCTCTCTGATCTGCCGCTCTGTTGCTATTGGCATGAAGGGAAAAACATGGACTCGCTGATGTCACACACCCCCACTAACCCTTCTGCCCACTTCACTGGACTGAATGTGGTGGAGATCAAACAGAAAATATCATCTGAGCCGAGTCCAGATTCTTCACATCTGATTATATCTGACTTTATCTACAGAAAAACAGTTTGAGTTTGAGCAGCAGAGTCACTGTGATCCATGCTTTTATTCCTAACTTAAAAAGTAAATGAGCCACAAACAGGCTAATGTTAGTCAAATTCAATTTTGAACTTTAATTATGTTGATAATGTTCATATAGATAATGTTGTCACTTGAGATAAAGAAGTGCAAAAAATCTTGGGTTGTTGGACAAAACATGATATAACAACAGTCATAACTGCTGAGGAGTCACCTTTGTGCCGACTGGGCAAAATATCTCATTCACTTTTGAACAGTTGAGAAAAGGTTTGAAATTTAACACCCCCTCATTTAACTTAATTGTATTGTTGTCAACCAAGATACAACACAAACAGAACGACTTTTCTCTCAGCGTACAGTTTACCCTTTTTTTCTTGTTGTCTGGTGAGATTGTTTCGTCAGAACACTTACAAAGTCGGAAATAAAAGTCGAACAAACAGATTGAACTTGTAACAGTTTAACATCAACACATTGTATGTGGATCACAAAACTATACTTAATAAGTGTGGGTGAAATGTTTTGAATATTTTGAACACATTTTATTAGTACTACACCATGTGAGCACATGTGGTAATAAAAAAGAGAAAAGGAAAAGGAAACCAGATTGTTGTTAATAAACAGTTACAGCAACTCTGACTTAATTTAAACAATATGAAATATTCACATCTCATGTAAAACCAAGCAAGGTTAGATACATTTTATATTATAGAAGTTTCTGGAAATAGTCAAAGATAAGAAATAACATTTCTTAAAAAATACATGGGAATAAAAAAAAGAAGAGAATACAGTGGGTTAATGAAACAGGAAACACCACAGCAGAGTGTCTTACATTACATTATGTATAATGTGTTAAGCACAAAATAAACCTTATACTTATGCTATATCTCAGGTATATTCAGTCTTTGCTCATTTAGCAGGACTACAGTATGTTTCAGTGCAAAATTAACATTAATAACAGACTCTGTAGCAATTTCTTCAACAAATTATATAAATGCTCTATTGAGCTCCATCCATAGATAGAATTCTCTCTTTCACATACTATATAATAAGATAAAAAGCAGTTTCACTGCTGCATAAAAAACAAAGTGTGACACAAGTAACTGCAGTTACATTTCAAAAAGACAAATCCAATGCATATTAGCAAAGCTATGCTGTATATGTAGCATAACGCTAAAAATAATCAACGTGCTTCAGATGAAGAAATACAACAAGAAGAACAGATGATCCCTATGCAAAAGCCCAGACAGTATATAATGTTAATGAATGTAAACACAGTGCAGATCATCTTTATTAGTTATGTGATATATACGTATATATACAGAATATACAGTGTTACTTCCAACATGTGTTAAAGACAAATATACAGCCTACAATGTACCATACTCTAAAACCTATGGTTCAGCTTCTGCTCTACAAGAATACGTCTATATAATTACATACACAAACCATCAGATGGCAGCAGTGAGAAACCAAAAATCATTAAATAAGATACTTCCAAACAAACCAAGGTTCCTGATTGAAAACAATACCAAAACTCTCCACAAGGTCAGATGTGAGTGCTCCACTTCTGCTTCAGAAGTGATGTCTCCTTGACTTGAGGGAGTTTCTTCTTTTCCTCTTCCTGTAGCACTGCTCCCTCTTCTCAGGCCAGAGGAAACCACCCTCAGAGGTTCTGTAGGCTTCATCGTACTCGTCGCTCTCAGATTCTGCCCCGGCTGCAGGGAACGCTCTGTCTGGGAAAACACCTTTCAGCTGGGAGTTGAAGAACGCCACCAAGCTGCGGCCCGCCTGAGCAACCTCAGAGTCCGGCTGTTAAGAAGGAGAGCATTTACCTTTTAGGAACGCTGCACAAAAGCAGCCGCACACACAATATTGTTCAGTTTTATTGACTTACGTAGTTGAACTTTGCACAGTTACTGAACATGAGAGAGAAATCAGCCACAAACTGATCTGGTGAAATATAATGTCGAGGGTTTTTCTTCTGGAGTTTGGCTCTGATCACACACAGGTCCATTGGTCTCTTGATGATCTGATAATAATGTCGAGCCTGAATTAAAAAAACAAACAAACTTAGACTCCGAGGTAACCTCTTGTTTGTGGTTATGACAGAATGCACAGAATTTACAAGCACAGAGCATGTAGCTTCTACTAACTCCCCTGCAGAGGGCACTGTAAATGCATTCGTTCAGCTTTGAGTGTAGTGTTTTTTTAGTTTTCATATCTAGTACTTTTCTTTACTCACTAAAACCATTCCCTACATGTAATACTTACAGCTGTAGACATTAGTGATTCTATGATATTTGTCATTGTCTAACAGTTGTGTTGTTGTTTTAATCATTACAATTAATTTGTGCCCTGGGCTACAGTCCTCCTGTGTATAATAAAATGCCTGGCAATCACTTTAATTACAAGTTGATATGAAGAGGAGCATCATCACTCACCAGTGGACTGACAGGCTCATGAAAGGGAGCACTCAGGATGTTACTGAGGATCAGGAGAGTCAGCCGCTCACATTTCTACAAACAGAAGTGATGAACTTGAAAAATGCAGGAGTCGGCCATCATTTGAAACCACTAATAATAATCATATTTTACAAATGAAGCTAATGAAAGGACCTACCCTTTGGTCACATGGAGACAGACCGTACGTCTGTTCTCCAGATGTTTCCTCATTCTCACAGTCGTATTCGACCTCTGGGTGAACCACGTCCCTGCACAGGCTGCACAGCCAGTCTCCTCTGGACAGGATATAAGACAGTGTCAGGTTTACAGTTACCTTTATTTACACTTCATTATAATGCAGCGGAGGGAACTTACACTGGGAAGCCCAGCAGAGGTGGGACATGACAGGAGAGATGAAAGACCTTTGGACAGCGGTCGCAGCACAGCAGCTCTCCTCCAATCAGACACACAGCACAAAAGTCCTCACTCTCCGTCTCTGCGGTGTCCTGCTCAGACTGGTTGTTCTCGGGTACCCTTTGAGGTGAAGGGTTTGAGATCAGCAGTGGCCTTGGACTACGTCCAACATGGGACTCCTCTTCCAGGTCAGAGCGTAGAGGCTGTGGGTCATCGGTCGTGAATTCCGCTTCAGAATCCACATCCAGCTCGGACTCAATGAATTCCTGACAATTTGAAGGCTGATCGGACACGCGGTTAAATTCGGCGTCAACCTGGAGACTAGGTTCATATTCGGGCTGAGTGTCTGTCTCACTCTCAACATCGCCTGAGTCTGCATCTGTATTTAGGTCCTCATTATCTTCTGAAACCACTTCACAATCTGACTTCTGGTCTTCCTTATATTCCAGGCTTGGCTCTGAATCTCCTGCAATATCAATTTCACTACCGGGCCTTATCTCTCCTGCAGCAGATCCCCCCTCAGCCTCACATCCCAGCTCTGCCTCGAATGAAGACTCAGAATCTTGGGATGTATCAGAGTCCACGCATGGATCTGCATCAAGTCCCAAACTGGCCCTGTCCTCAGAGAGGGACCTGGGGTTAGAACTCTGTGGGACATATTGGGGGTCTCTGTAGGACAGTGAGGGTACTTTACAACAGATAAATCTTCCATGTCTTTCAAGGGTGGTTGGTGAAGGTGTCGATGATGGCTCGGCTTCATACAGTGGTGCTTTCAGAGTCTGGGTCGTCCTCTTGTTTTCAGGATCCCCAGAAATCCTCTATTTGTACAAAGAAAGAGAAGAAAGACAGGATTACCTTCTATAATGCACTGCTGTGTGAATGGAATGACTCTAATACTACTAGGACGGTAGTTAGGAGACACACATGAGTCCTGACGCTGTGCCTGTGCTCCTGCTGACGAAGAGCAGAGCTGGTGTCCGCTGTGACGGCAGGTGAAGGGTCGCTCTGTCGTCGTCCATGTGGAGGGAGTTGCGACACCAGTATTTTAAGACGCTCTAAGCAAACAACAGGAACTCTGGTCCTTCCTGAGTCTGTCTTTGAGTCTCTGTTCGTTATGATGACAGCACTTTGTTATAATCTTTATTATTATTATATTATAGCACATACATTTAAACTGACTGCTTTACACACACCTGCTGTCACCATGTCTCAGAATCCTGCTGTTCCCCATGACCCCACAATTAAACTCTTTGCTTCCAAAGTGGCAAGAATTACCTGAAAATTAGAAGGGAGTAAATATTTATTTCGGAAATTTCAGTATTGTGTCTGGTATATAAATGATTTGTTCCAGCACCTGATTCTGTCTTGTAGGACAACAGTGTAGAGTGTTGGCCTCCAGTATCATCTGAGGTCTCCTTCACTACACAGAGCACTCCATCAGACGCTCTCCTGTGTCTGGGTTCCACGTTAGAAAACTAAGAACGAAATACAAATTGTGTAGAAGGAGATTGTTAAAGAAAAAAAAAAGTATCCAAGAGGGAAAAAAAGCATTTAAACACCGCTGTAGTATTTTTATTTAAACTTTTATTTTGTTTTTTATTTTTATGGCTCCCTCCGCTGAACCTACCGAGAAAAATAACAGCTATGGGGCTTGTGTTCCTAAAAACATAACACCATATGGCGAGCAGTGAAAAGTCTTACTAGATTGCCACTCATCATTGTTGCATTTTTATTTTCTTTTATAACATTTTCATAACAGTTGCAATTCCATGAAGACTGAACTTTTTTTTATTTTAATGACCCATGGTAAAACGTTATTTTGCAAAATAAATAGTTTTTTTTTAACCTTTTTGAAAAGAGTATTGCATCAAAGTTTGTCAAGTATGGAATATATCCTCCGACTACTCTACGTTACCTTTTTTGTAGCTTCTGCATCTAAGCTGCATCCTGTGGGCCTTTCAGAGTAAGGACTGGTGACCGGAGCCACCAGTTCTGCTGGAATGCTCTGGGAGCGTCTCTGCCTCCTTGTACACAGCAAACTAGGGCTGAGCCTGTCGTTCTGTACATCGGATACGCCACCGCGGACTGTCACTGAAACCTCCAGGGATGTCGATCTCTGTCAGGGATCAAAACATAACAAAACAGAGCATGGTTCCAAATTAGTGAGACATGCAACGGTGCACCAGTTCATGAGAGAAAGGCAGTGAGATGTGGCTCACATGAACAAAGGCATCACTCAGGACTCGTTCTATCAATCATTTGAAACACGTTCCACACAACATCCCACGCAGCTGCATCTGTTGCACTTCTGGTTCACGGGATGAAACGTGTAGTGGCAGTACCACTTAATAACCATCAGAGGTGCTGTGTGGTCCTTTGATTTAGCCAAGACCGCCAATCAACCCCTCCTTCACTCATGAGAGAATTTAATTAGTGCCTGCCCTCTGATAAGCTCCTACAAACCCAGCGGCTCTGTCCGTGGCTGATGTAAGCAGCAGGGCTGGCAAGTCATTTAACACCAAGTGTTTCCTTAAACACACAGCTCATTTCTTTTCATAATTCTTTTTCCAGTGTGACATCATAAATATTCAGTCCAAATTGATGCGGAGGATGTTTTTTTCTTCTAAGCAGCTTGTGATTAAAACACCTACCTGATCCGTGCCCCTTGGGTGTGGGAGGAAGGATTCAGAAAATAAGAAGAGAATAATCCTTTCTTCTAGAATGTTGGGGGGGCAGACTTTTATATGGAGGTGCAGACCAGAGCCAGACTCGAACTCCTGATATTCCCTCAGTGGCTCATTAACGACAGGTTAAGTACATAACTGACTGCACCCAAGTGCTTTTATGATGACTTCAGATGCAGAGACTTTAGCGTGTTGTAAAAATGTAACTCCATGGCTGTAATTATGCGTCTTGAGAATTTTTGGAAAGGTGATTATGCGGCTGCCTAACCCTCTGGCATCCTCCATGACTATGATGAAGAGTATTCTCCTGGATTCTCACATGCTCTGCTGCAAAGAGCTCAGCTTTAATTATCAGAGCAGCTCTTTTGTTTTACCAGCATTCTGTCTTCATGAAAGTAGAATCTGGTTCTTCTGTTGTTACACTGTGAGTGTTCAGGACCGATGTGAACTGGGGCTGGTGATCTTTTAACATCAGAATGAACAGCGTTCTCTCTGTTTTTGATGGATAATTGTGCCACCGTTGTTACATTTTGAAAATGAAAGTGAATTATTTGTCACTGTGACACAGCACACCATAAGGAGGTCCTGGAATAAAATAAATCACAGTCAAGCTCCTCAATACCATTTTCCATTTTCTTACATGATCATAAAAATCAATATAATAGTAGGGGTAATTTTGAAGAAGGTAATATCTCTGTAGTATCATTTTTGAATGAGTCTTACGTAAATATAGAGTTAACATCTTTAGGTGGATCCATAGTGTAGCATTATCACTCCTGCCTTACACGCAGAAGGTCCTGGGTTCGAGCCCCAGAGGAACCATATACTTAATGGCGCCTCCTATGGCAGTTGCAAAGACTTGCACCGTGACTTTGTTGGATCAATGAGGGACTTCAATCCATTTTTAATAATTTAAGACCGATTATTAACTTGATTTAGGTGTGTTGTTTTTTCCATAAACACATGTGTGTATAAAATGAAACAAAAATGGCTGTGATAGTCAAAATTCTACCACTTCTCTGCCAAAAGTTTAAAATTCAACTATAGGATGGATGGATGCACAAAAATAAAAACAGCAGCAGTGATTTTGTGAATCACAGCTCTCACCCTGCCATTCCTGTGATCTCCAGCCGTCTTTGCAGATATGACGTTCTGCTCTGCTGTAGTCGGAACACAGAGCTGCTGATGATGCTGATGCTGTTGGCCAGGACTCTGCTCCTCTCTGACCTGTTGCACGTCCTCATTCCGCAGCACTCTGCTGTCAACCACTGCTCTGTGACCACAAACCTCCTCCCCTCTGCATCTCTCCTCCATGCCGGGCCTGGTGCAGTCTACAGCCTCCTGAGCCTGGCTCTCAGGGAGGCTGTCTCTCTGGTGTTGGTGATAAGAGATGTAACATTTGGACTGGGCGTGGGTTTGGGCGTCTGTAGACTGGATCGGGGAGGTTGAGTCTCGGCTGCAGCTGAGCTGAGTCGGTCCTGTGAATGGGACTGATGGTGTAGGAGGAGGACAGTGTGAAGAGCCCTCTGTGTCCCAGCACCGAGGGATCTGCTGGCTCTGGTGCAGAGGCACAGACGCGAGTGCAGGCTGAACACAACTGGAGTTACAAAAAGAAACTTCTGCCTGGCCTTTACCCAAGGTGGAAAGATCTTGCTGTGAGGGGAGTCCATGCAGGCAGCACATTTGGGGCTCACAGCAGGACTGGTACCCGCAGCTTGGATCTTGTCTGTGGAATACAGATGGCAGTGCCAAGCAAGTGATGGGCTGGGGCCTCATGAGACTGGAGCAGGACAAACCCTGAGGATATGTGCAGTTTCCGCCTTCAACAGTCAGCTGGCCTGAGAAGGAACACAGTCACAGTAACAGCTCTGCTCTGATGATGTCATAAAAATAGAAGTAAAAAAAAATCGATGTTGACGATATGTGAAATAAAAGCTATAAAATCTCTACAATGACCACCAGTACATTTTGCCACATCAATATTGATTTTACCTAATGTAGAAATCTCCTTCATCCAGTAACTTGCATCCCAGTCAAATTTGATCTTGACAGGACTCCAGGACTCTGGGTGTAGAGAAGGTTCTAAAAGCTGCTGCATCTGAAGAGAAAGCTGAAGAGATATGAAAGTTAGCTTCCATGCCCACACTGACGCTAAGAATGTGATATTATATATTATAATTAGCGCACCAATGCCTTGCTGAAAAGCAGTGGGCCTCTGCGGTGATGGGTCGTAGCCCAGGTAATGAACTTTTGAACATGATCCAGCTGGCCACACATCTCTATCGCCCCCTGCAGCTGATCCTCCAAACGCTGCTGGAATTCCTCTGAGATTTTCTTTAAGGACAGCCATAGAAATAACCCAATACTCAGTGGGTAGACATGACAAATGCATATACACTGATGTAATGATTAATAAAAAACTGAATCCTTTATTCATCCCACAATTCACAGTGTGAGTCACAGGAGGCGCCATTAAGTATATGGTTCCTGTGGGGCTCGAACCCAGGACCTTCTGCATGTAAGGCAGAGGTGTAAAACAAGTGTGATAACTATGGAACCATATAGGCAAATTTGAGGTGCTACAGCAGCCTCAATGTCATCCTTGGGTGGGTTTGAACTAGCACTCTCTTTCGGCACGCATGTGGTGACAGATTTCCACCACAGGGACGTTTCTTGTGCAAGAAACGTCCCTCAGAATCACTGCTGCAGACCCTTGTTTTCATGCCTTCCAAACAGTCTACAATATTTGTTTCACCTTTCTTTGCATGCAGCTTCACTGTGAGTGATAAGGAAGCAAAGAAGGGAGGAAAAAGAAAGCCATTACCTCCAGTTGCTCTATTAATAGGTTGGCTCGTTTGTTAAGCTCGTTCATCATAATCATCTTTGCCATTTTAATCTGGTTCTCCGCCTTCCTGTGCGCAATCTTTACTCCGTGAAGTCTGCGAAGAGATGAAAGAGAAAATGAATGGCGCAGTGCCAGCATTAATAAATGCATCAGCTTGATATGTTCTACTTTTTGTGACAGAATCTGCTCAGTTCAGGGTCTGGCACCAACCTGTCCTCTATCTGTTTCGCAGTGTTTTCTACCGCTGACTTCCTCTCATCCACCTGCATCGTCAGAGTCTCAAACAGCCATTGCTGATCCTGCAGGGCCTTCCTGATCTGCACCACTCTAAACACGTAACAGATCACAGCACCTTTAAAAAGTTCACTAATGGAGTGTTGGCCATGCAGAACATTGGAATTGTTTTCCTCCCTCGGGGAAATAAACTTAATGGTGGTGACCTTAGAGGCAGCAACATCACAGACACAAAGGTAGGAAACGTCACCAAAAACAAAAGTGTATGAATTTGTAATGAGGATTAGTGGCTCCAAGGGCGTTATATGCAGATACTGTTGGGAAAAGTGACAGGGCAGTAAAAGTGTTGTTGTTGGTGGTGGTGTTGTTGTTCGACCTGTGATTTTCTTTCCCTCTACTGTGTCCTTGTGCTCTGTCTGCATCTGCGGACTGACCTGTGGTTTTTGTGAGAGGACAGGTGACAGCTGCTGCAGCACAGGAGGTCACATGACTCGCAAAATAGCTCCAAGGGCTCCTGTCTGTGAGAGTGGCACATTAGGAGGGAGCAAGGATACGACCCTGGGCCTAAAAAAGAGACAGCGACAGACAGAGGAAAAAGGGAGGAGGGAGGAAAGGAGGCGAGGAGTGTGTGTTAACAGCACCTACTGTAATAAGTAACTTGAAGGGAGAGGCAGGTTAGCAGTGATCAACACAGAGGAATCAATTTGAAAATGAACCACAACGACAAGAAATTAAGATGTAAATATAGAAATAAAAATTAGGCTAAGAAAATCAGCTACAAATATTAAAGAAATTGATGAAAGCCTGTAAAAACATATCTATACTAAAGTAAATTATCTTAAAGACCAAGAACTTGATAAATAATTAGTTAAGATTAATGTTTAAAAAGTTTACCCTATACACTAAAGCAGTGGTTCTCAAACTGTGGTACATGTTCCACCAGTGGTACGCGAGCGCTCTCTAGTAGTACGTTGGGAAAATTCACATTTTACATTTAATTAAACAAATCTGAAACATACCATGTACAATTAATACAACATTTAAACATAAACATTTCTAAACATCTCTCCTGTGGTGGAAGCTAACAGTGAAGGCCTCTGCTGCTATATTCTAATGTTGGTCATCATGGTGGTACTCTGAGAGCTCAATGTTTTCACAGGTGGTACAGAGTACAAAATGTTTGACTGCACTAATGCTACAAAATTCAAAATGTAACTAAATTTTAACCAGGAATGTTTATCTTAAAACATTATCATACCGTATCTCTAGTTTTATATTAAATTAGAAGCAACTGGTGATAGCCATATAAAACTCTATGTTCAAGAATTGGTCTCAGGCACAGTAACTGTACTCAACTGCAGAACTAGTAGTCGACTTGCAGAAATCTGTTATGAACTGAGCCAGATGAAGACACTAAACACAGGTCTGCAAGAGTTTTGCTGGGCAGCTCACCTCAGTCAACACTACACTATATAAACGTTATCACACACCACTATTTTCACACTTTGCATGTCTCTGTGTGTGTGTGTTTAGCACCAACCCAGCCTGACTGACCACATCCTGTTTCACAGTTCAGTCACACCATTGCTCTTTCAGCACAACAGGCAAACAGAAACCCTGCCACACCACATAAAATGTTTACAATCGATCGTTATGATTTTTGAGCTGCTAAAGAAGAAAGAAGCTGTCAAAAGTCCTCTACATAGCGACACGCTAATATTAGCATTAATGAAATTAAGTGAGCTCCCCAGAATCTGGGCCAAAAGTTATAATAGGAATCTATGGACAGAAAAGGGATCTCCAGATCTCTATCATTATCAACCACCAGCACTGCAATTCATTAGTCACTCGGATGGCTTCTACTCTGATATGATCAAAAAAAACAAGTTACCCAGACAGCAAAACAAAGACAGACACAGTGTGCAGCACTGCTGTTAATCCTTCATCCTGTCCCTGAGAAGTGAATGTGGACATTTGTCTTACCTTGTCCACTTGCCGGCACTGGACTGGAGCCCCTGTGGTGATGCTCGGGACACGGGGCAGCACTGACCTTCTGGTGGTGGTGTAGGTCTGAGAACTGAGGAGCGACAGTGGCTCTGTGATGCTGATGCACATCTGTGCACTGGTAACAAAACCACTTGTTGCAGAGAATGCACAGGCTCTGTGCAAGTGTTGGCTCTGAACACTCCGAGCAGATCTGATAAAAATAGACACAGGTAGAAAATGTTTGAATTAGACACATGAACATATTTGTTAAAATAATGATTCATTGTTGTGAAATTATAGGGGTTTTTTTGTTTTACACAAGACTAGTTTCATGATTACAAATTCTTCAATACAAAACTTTTGGAGGTTATTTGCTCGGCGGTGTCTATCATACATTCTATCATACTTTGGTAAAGACGAAAACATTCAAGTCGTGTACTTTTTCTCAATTTAGCAAGTTATAAAAGTTATTAAAAAAAAAAACAAATAAAATGTAGTACTACATCGGTATGAGACCAGAAGATGCATACATCTGAAATATTTGCCTTGCTTCCTTCCTTCCTCTCTACTTAAGGCTTTCAAAATTAAATATTATACATAAAGGTCAAAATTTTCAATAATGTTATTCTATTTTGAAATGTGACCGCATGGTGATCAGAGAACCGCGTGACAGAAAGACAGCATCACAAACCAACAGAATAAAATGTTATGGCTAATCTAAAAGGCCGAGACTCTCACTGCTCAAACAAAAACAACCTCCCGAGAAACAAAGTCTCCACGTGGATCAGAAACAAAAGAAATCACATTTTAAAAAAAGGGACATAAACGATGAGACGTCTTACCTTCTCCATTTCTGCGCTCCGTGAGAGGAGCTGCTGTCTTCTCAGAGAGAAAGTGTGAGCAGCGACAGCAGCAGCAGCAGTGGCTGCAACAGTGATGCCTCTAACTAAGGCAGGAAGCAGTGGGAACAGTGAGGTGACCCCAGAGGAGACAACTTACATGACAGCCTCACCGTGCTCTCTCTCCTCCCCCAGATCATCCATGTGTAGGACCCTCGTTTGACTGCAGCCGGGAAGAGAAGCATCACATTCAAATTCATCGCCCGTGCAAGCGAAAAATAATGAGAGACAATCTAATCCTTTTCTTAAATAAGCTTGTGCATAATAATTGGGAATTAGGGAGATAAGATAATTATTTTTTGTAGGGCAAAATATACCCCACAGCCCTTTCCAAACTGGAAGAACGAAGGACCAAGTGACCTACAATACTGAAGGAGGAAAAAAGTGTTCTGCAGGCACCTTGGTGGTGTTTGGATGGTGCAGTGCGTGAGGCAGAAGCAGGTGATGTGCGGGGCTGTGGTTGTAAGACTGTAGTAGAACAGGTTAACTGTGGCCTTCTTTTCAGCAGGGGGAGGGGCCAGATCCCAGTGGGATTAGACACTACCGTAGCACGCTAAAACCGGGTCAGGCTCTGATGAGCGCCAGATGGGACTGAGACGCTCCACCCATTAACACGGGGTGACTCAATTTAAGATTTTGACACAATATTTACTATGAACAAAAAAAAAAATAACACACAGACCCCGGGGCCTGTTGTAAAGCTAATATAATCAGACATTGGCTGACAACTTTGGAAGTAGCTCTGTACACTGTAGAGGTCAGGAGACCCGTGGAAGGGACAAGATTCTGGAATAGTGTAAAGGTAAAGAGGCAGAATCAGAACATTTGGTGCTACTACGTTGTAATACTATAGTATACGTTTAAGGGTTTGTCTTAATATGCTAGATTTAATAGACCTAGGACAGTTGTCCCTGGCTAACTCTACATATTCCTTCCTAAGAATATTTATAGACACAGTGAGGGAGGACATGATTATGGAGTGTGTGATAGTAAAAGAAACAAAAGTCACATGGTCCACCATGATGACCCCTAAAGGGGTGAATAGAAATAGATGAAGAAAGTCCATGTCCATGTTCATAGCCACAAAAATGTATCTCTAAACGAGGAGAATGAGAAGATAATTATTCAGTAGATGAACATCTGGTATTTGTGCTCAGACCCAGAACATGATGTGAAATTAGTTGCAGGATATGATTTAAAGTTGAGAACTTAGGCACGCCATGTTGTGTTTACAAAACTGAAAACAAACCCACTTGCCATCAGATCTTTTTCCACAATGAGCTAATGTCAGAATATCTGCCCAACAACAACCCCTGCAGCATGACCTACAAATCTGACAACTTTCTCATCCTTGGGTGTTTCAGAGCAACCCCATTCCCCACTGTGCACTCAAAGACCCAATTTAAAACACAATTAGTCTGACGGTGTACACCCTGCCTTCTGTTCATTCACTTTTGTAGCCTTTTCTGAGGGCGTGCTGGATTTCTTCTCCTCTCCTGCCAGCTTCACTGCCCTGCTCAGAACGGATGGCACTAGATTTCTCTGGAGACGTCGCAATAATAGAAACCTGTGCAGTGATGTGTCCCTTGAAAGCAGCCCTGATGCGAAAATCTATTAACGCTGAGGTGATGAGATCACAGAAAAAGCACGATATTACTTATCCAACGTATGATGGAAATTCACAGGGCTATTAGCCTCACAAATCCCTTTTTTTTTTGCAAGAAAATTAATCGGCTGTAGTAACTTAATGCTTGTTGTTTACAATTACAATTATATATCATTGATTGATTTTTACCTTAATTAAAATGTTAAATTTCCCACAGCACCATACCAGTGACTCTGAAACGCAGTGCACATCAGAGCTGTGAGGGATCATCATGTGAACTGTGAAAAATCATCCAATTTCAATTGAATTGGACTGAAGCTATTACTTATTCGCTGCAAATAATTTGTCTTTGTTCGGTTCTATAATTGTAGTAGGCAATTAAATACTCTTCCACTAGTTGGTAGCAGATGTAAAAAAAACAAAAAAAAGGCAAGAGACATACATGTCAAAGAGCTTCATGTGAGTCTTTCTTCAACTCCTGGGTGGATCAGTGTTGTGTTCAACTAAACACACCCAGGTTTCACAATTAGTCATTTTGAAATTGAAACCAGAAGATCTGGTCATCTACTTTTTGTGACATCTTGTGCAGTTGTGCACCGTGGGTTTTTTCCATTTTAAAATATGGGCCGTGGATCAAAAATAAAATATTGGCCTTTACTTTTATCAAAGTTAGTTTCCCTGACAGGTTATACTTTAATTTTCTCTCTTTTTTGTTCACATGCAATTGCAGTTAAAAAAACTCATATTTATAAGAGGGTGGTTCACAGTCTATGATAAAGATTGTGGCATCATTAAAACTCAATAAAATAGGCATATATTTTATTTTATCTTTGATACAAAGTGAAGCTAAATTATTGTTGCCTGTTTTTTGTTTTGTTTTGTTTTTTTACTTGTGATAAGTCTCCCACAAAGATCTTCTTCAGAGGAGATTGCCTCGTCCACCCAACCACCACTTCTCAGTTGGTTTTAGGGCCACGTGACTTTCTGATATACGTGTTATTGTCGCAAAACTGGTGCTCACATCTATACGTAGAGTACATTCAGAAACATCCGGGCTTCTTGTGAAACAAAGGAAAAAATAAATTAAATGTATGAACTGATTTTTTTTTTATTTTGTAGAGTTGACTCTTTTAAAAATAAGTTGCTTCTTCACCATTATAGAGTTCTAATTCATATATTTTTGATTTGTCTTATTATTTTTGGTGTAACCTCATTTTGTACCGCTACCAAAATTATTTGGATTATAATTCTTGCGCTTGAGAACTAAATATCCACTCACTGCCTCTCTGTAAGGTACTGTCAAGGAGACATTTTCCAAATAAAGCGATTTCTTTTACAAGATAAGAAGCTTATCAGTTCACACTGGCCATAGAACACACACACGCACTCTTCCTCTGCATCCTCACCTTCAGCAGCAGCATCACATCACTCACTCTGCTGATGATAACACTGTTGTTTTACAAAGTGCGCAGGAGATTCCGCCCCTGTCATGGCAACACCGTGGTGCAACGAGTGCACATCACAACAACAGCAGCACAGAACCACAGCACTGAGACACGCAGAGGGACAGCACCAGGGAGCAGGCGGAATTATTCAACTTGAGTTTGTATTTAATCCAAACATAAACATACCTACAAGTAAACGTCGAGGCTTTCTGTCCGACAATGGAACCGCAGAGTGACGAGAAACTAAACTTCTGTCAGTGCAGCCGTGTCAGAAGAATGTGCCTCAAAAATCGGACTTTCTGCGTATTCCCTTCCTCCTTTTCTCTTTAAATCCTCTCTCTTGCCTCGGCTCGGCCGTGAGTGTACATCATCCGTCCTCCTCCATCGGATGTCGCTCTTTGGTCCTTCCAAAATTTTGGAGAAACCAAGTCTCGCAGTTAATCGTGAGATTTTATGCTGCGTTCACAGGCAACACAGACAACACTAATAATGACGTTTCACACAGAGGCAGAACAGCACAACATTATAGACCTAATAATAAAAATATGTATATGAATAATATGTAAACATTGTATTATTATAAATATTTCAGAATAACAATGTAATTCTGATGTTTCACTCTATAGTGTATTTTTAATATAATGATAATAATAATAATAATAATAATAATAATAATAATAATAATAATAATAATAATAATAAAGGTTTTGATATGTAGTAATTGTGATGTGTAAGTTTTCTAAATTATTAATACAGTCTGGTGTCACTGCATTCCCTGACCTGTGGTGTCACAGGTTGTGTTTGTGCAGCAGGTGATTTACGTTTCCCTTGATTGCTGATGAGAACACAAGCCAAGCAAAAGTAATAAAGCCTGAAATCAACAGTGAGCTTCCTGCTCAATAACAGCATGTAAGTGACCAGCATCACCAGAGTGATGTGCACAGATGTAATGAGGTTAGACGGGCATGTGTTGCTGCTGCTGCTGGACTAACTGAACCTCCAGGGATCTCATCAGAACACTTGCTCTGGTGAAGATGTCGCTGAGGTGTTAGATGTAGATGTGCTTCAGGCCTAACTTTTAGTTGCCTCGTTGTTAACTCGTATCTTTTCTGTTCTAATTGTTGTTATATTTAGCTTGTGTCTTTTGATAGACACCAGCTTTTGTTATTTTGATATTTTTAGTAGTTTTTCTATGGATTTTTATTAGAACCCACATGTTACACAACACAAGCAAAATCAGATTTTGAAGTAATTTCAGAGAACTGTCAAGTCCGACATGTTTTTAAAGTTTTTAATAAAATATTGCAAAAGACTCTATGAAGAGTTACAATCATTTTCTTCATTGTCTTGGTGCTTGATGTAAGTTTTACACTTCTCTAACAGACGACAACACAGTTGTGAATTGTTGAAAATACAAAAACAGAAACATGAATACATAGGAACTGTACAATGGATGCCCACATGACTAACAGACACTCACACACCCTGGTAACACTCCTCACAGGCACAGTGGTTTCTCTACAGCTCATTGGTCACGTACCGAACCCGCTGTCACTAACTCACACAACGCTATACACACGTGATGAGGACGATCACAGCCAATTTACAGTTAAAGATTATGTACACTTTTCCATTGAAGAGGGTGAGAATCACGATGCTGCGGTTGAGACGTCACGTCCTCACCTCGATGAGAGACGAAAGACAGGAGCGAGGACTGCTTTAGCTCTTTTTGTGGAGGAACCTCATTTTGTTTCCTGTGAGCAACACATCAACTTAATTATATCAAATCAACAACACCTGAAAAAACAATATGTATTTCAACTTATATAAGATTTCAAATTTTATTCAGACACAATAAAAACAGCAATGATTTAAAAATTGTTCAATTTCAGGTGTTTTTACATTATTAACAATGTAGACTAATCTAATAGTTCAGTGATATTTCAGGATTCTTACCAAGGCCTTTCAGAAACTTATTAACTCCACTCTGCTCCGTGTCTGGAAGCTCCTCCAGATATTGCTCCACCCTCTGCTCAAAAAGACCTAGATAGAAGAAGTGATGAGAAAAAAAGTGCTTTAAAACGCCTCGCCACTAGAGGTCAATGTCAACACAGTTTATTCAACACAATGCGTCGAAGGTCAGCAATGTAGCGGCAAAGCTTCTGCTGAAACTCAAATGGAACAACAGTCTACCTTTAGCCCGGGTTTTCCTCAGCTCTCGATCCTGAACGAAGCCTGCAAACATCTGAGATTCCATGAAGACGCCAAGGAAACGGCGGATGCTTTTCGATGCCACAGACTTGCGGAAGGCCTCCCTTTGGAAAATTCGCTCCCCGCGCTCATTCTGAGTGATAAACAGGGAATAATGTCCAATGGTTTCCAGGAAAAAGCGAATGAAGGCCTCAGACACCAGGCTGTTCAGGGAGTTGTACTCTGTGGATGCAAAGGAAATGATTAACTACAGGTTTAACATCAGTGAAACACTCAAAACACACAGGTTAGCAATCTGAACAACTGAAGGAAACATGCTGCCATTTGTTGTATATTATGCAGCACATATCGTTTGACTAAAAACCTAACTTGCTGTTTGGACATGGGCACATACAGTATATCTTAGAAATTCTTGGTTTAAGTCAACTTGACATAAATCATCCACAAAACCCAAATGGTTTGTCTGTTTTCTAAGAACAGAAATGATTTCATGACCAAGTAGATTTTCTATGTTCGGAGTTAAGTAGAACCACAATTACACTCCACAGAGGCGTTTAATTGGTCAGCTTTCCTCCATGATAGTAGGAAATTTGGTTTGTTTTCAGTAGAGTTCAGTTCAGTTCCATTCAGTGTCTGAGTTCTGGGATATTTAAAATGTAAAATGGTTGTTATTCTGTAGAGAAACAAAGACAGACAGAATCTTAGGGTCAGAGGTCAACCACATAGCTTTGGTTTTCTGTTTTTATTTAACTCCATTCTCAAATTCCTCATTATCTGCTGATTATCCCTCCACTCATAATTATAGTACTTTGAACTGTTAATCAGGAAGCCTCTCAAAAATATCACCTCATCATGCTGCATAAATATTGATCAGAGTTACATGTTGTTTTAACCACAAATACAGATAATTAGTTAAATAAACAGACACATTGACTGTGACAGTAATGGTTGTTCACTGTCACGAAGGAGGATGCTGAGACCATGGCTTCTCTTTTAGAGTTTATAGTAATACGTCACAGGATGTGTTTAATGTAACTGGTTTCTCTGTGACATTTGATGTTTTTTGGACGGCTTCCTGGGTATTCTGTCTGACTGTTTCGTGACTTTGTTACAGTTAGGTCACCGTCAGCTATGTGTGAAACTTTGGTTGAAGTATAATAATTATACACCAATAGTTGCACCTTTCATCAAGAGACATTGTGAATCATCACTACATTCGTCATTACTTCAGATTGGGACAGAGTGTAAAACGTCTGGCCTTCAGTGAACTTAATCCAAACACACACCCACACAGACTCAACATCATCACGTCATTCCCACGACAAAGGAAAAACATCTGTCTGATTTGTCACATCTTCACCTTCGTCCGATTCGCTGTCGGAGTCCTGGTTGATGATATCATTCCTCTGCTCCAGCGCTTGCTCAAGGGCTGCTTGAAGTTTCCTGGGCAACAGTGATGCCTCATCGTCCATCTGTAAACATTTGGGATCATTCAGTTTGCTTGAGATACACAACTTTGCTTTGGCATAATTGTCGAAAAGACACAGCAAATCACCTTCTTAGTCCATCTTAAAAAGAGGCTTTCCCTAAACTGTCGTAGCCTATGGGTCTAAATGCTAAAGTTTTGTAAGTTCACTAACAGTGACGGTTCATTACAGTGTAAAGGGTTTTTTACTCTAAAGATTATTTTGAAATAACAACATGTGTGTTTGGATTAATGTCATAATTCAGATTTTCCGTATTGTAGTCACAATGAATCCATGGGTCACATCGAGTGTTGTTTAACTACAACTCTCACCTGTCGAATGAACCGATCAGTTCCAAGGTCGACCATCAAAGCCTGAGTGGAAAAAAACACACACTGAATAAGTATTTTCTCTTTGACATGTTGAACACTGTTTGTAGCAAGAACTGAGGGCACAAAATAATTAGACATTAGACATTAGTCAAACACATTTACGGAAGCAGACTTTGATGAGTCACTCAGTCGGAGTCATGTCATTGAAAACAGCAGCTGTTGTTGACAGTCCATTAACAGAGAAGCCTGAACTGTGTAAGAAGTCAAAACTGAGGAGGAACAAAGCTAAAACATACAGTATATGAAACATACAGTATATATGTGAGGAAGCTAAAAACTAAAATATTAAAGAAAAATTGATTGAACTGTAGGTTAAAATAAATATAATATGTATGATTTAATAAAATAAGCTTTTCCCCAATTCAAAACATGAGACTTCACACACAGTTACTGGTTGAAGAAATGTGAAAATGAACTCACTTCTTCTACGGGTAACTCTTTAAGTTTGGGCACAGAGCTGGACAGCAGTCCCACCAGGAATGGAGTGGGACAGCAGACGATGTCCAACATCGACCCTGGCAGCACTGGGATGAAGGTGTGTTGCCAGGAGAAGGGGTACAGTAAGGCCACCACTGCATGCATGCAGCTGGACAAGGTGCTGAAAATAAAGAAGTCACATTCACACTCTTAGAAACGACGCCCTGAAGAGGTCACACCAGGTCAAACCAAACAGCAGATGTTACAGTAGATAATGAAAAAGCTGGAAGTAGGGTTGGTGAGTAGTGTGGTGAATGTTTTTCTAAAAATACTGCGTAAAATTAAGAGCTGGAGTAAATGTCAACAAACTGCGTAAAATTAAGAGCTGGAGTAAATGGAGTCAACAAATATCATATTTCTATTTCGTCAGCTAACAGGATTCGTCTAGCTTTGACAGACAGGAAACCAGCAGAAAAACAGGAGAAGTGAATCAACCATTGCTTCAAACTCGGCTCCTGATGTTGACGTAGATACAGTACAGTCCATGATTTGAACTCATTATTTTGAGTCAATTCTTTGCTGGTGGCATGACTCAGACATTTTGCTGTAGTTAAACTGGAGGTTTGTTGATAAGTAAAAGAAGCAAACACAACGCAGCTTCATTTGACTCCAACAGCTGTGGTATAACAGGAGGATCACAAATAGCAGCCAGTCTTTCTCACGATCCAACGCTTGTTGACAGTGGCTGACCGCGCTGACCCTGCGGCCCTCTGTCCTTTACATACTGTCCAGTCCATGTACACAAAGACAGTGAAAATAAACTGCGGGACACACACACACTGAGACACTATATTTGTATGAATGAATTAATAAAAACAACACACGAGACGCACACTTTCGTTGTCGTCAGAAGCAGCAGCACAACATCCAGCTAAAGCTCCCTTCAGATTAATGAACTCACCCAGGTTTCATCCTTCAGAAACGTCACTGCCTGCATTCTTGTTTGGAAAAGGCACAGCACTCAGATCTGTGAATGACAACCTCCCCTGAAACTTTTCCCACAAGTCAACATGTTTGCCACAGGGCCCCTTTCATCTTCCAGTGAATCAATAGCCAGGATCAAACTGTGTTTTCTTGACAGGCTTGAAACACAATTGCACCACTGAAATATCCAAAGGTTTCAATAACCACCACGTTGACTCCCTTTCAGGTCTTTCCCAGTTCAGTCAAACACGAAGCACTTGCAGCTTGGCTCTGGCCGCTCTGATTTCCATTTGCCTGAGGTGGGCTTCATAATTCCTCCCAGATTCCCATCTCTCGGGTCTGACGAGTTCCAACAGGGAGTAATGGGGCACAGATCTCAGAAAACCCTCTGCCACAGGCTGCGTAGGTCCAACACACCCCCGATACCAAAAGAATCAATTACACTAAATTCCCAAAACCACACACACTTGGGAGAAGATGAACTTGCAATGAAAACACTGTGCACAACCAGAGGTTGCCACTCACAGTCTGGGACATTCCCTTGACGAAGGCTGAGCAATTCAAAACTCAAGAAACAGAGGATAGGAAGTGTCCACTGAATGTTTTGTATTGAACTATTTATATGCCTGCCAACCACTAAGAGCAAGTTGTACTAAGGACCAACTGTGAAACAAACTCCAAATCCAGAAGTTAGAAAAAAGAAATCACCAATTTTCACTTTTAATAAGCCAATTATATTCGGTTTAAATGTTAAGTTTCCTGAGAGGTTTACAGGGGATTTACATTAAAAAAATAGACCTGATTATTGTTAGATGTGCAAGTGTGAGGCTCCACTAAAGGAGCTAGACTCCTAAAGGAACAAGTTTTGTTGTGGTGTTGATGGACTCACCAACTATTTTAACTCTCTGTATTAAACCAACATTATCACGGCATTTGACTTTAGAACATATGTGTCAAACTTATGGCCCCGGGGCCAAATGCAGCCCTTCAAGCAGTTTTGTGTGGCCCACAGAAGCTTAAAAAGCATTTAGTAAAGTCCATGCAGCAGAGTTTTTTAACCTATAAAATTAAAAGTTTTTTTTTTATTATACAGCAATGAACAATATTTGTAGCTTGAATAAATAAAGTAAATTGCAGAAACATGTATTATTCTGTTATGGAGTAGGTACATCCATACCAGCGGTCCCCAACCTTTTTTGTTCCAAGGACTGGTCAGTCAGTACCACCTATGACCCATGACCTATTATTTTAAAGTATTGTCAGATTATCTTTAAATAAAAAAAGTAAATGGATATGAAATGGACTGGATTTTCTTTGAATGAGGTAAATTAGTAAAGTACATTTTTTCACTGTGTCCCACTGCGGCCCGGTACCAAATGACCTATGGACATGTAATGGTCCGTGGACCAGGGGTTGGGGACTGATCTATACAGCCTTCCATTTACAACCGGCCCTTCAGAGGGAACTGTATTGCTGATGTGGCCCGTGGTGAAAATGAGTTTGACACCTCTGCTCAAGTGTGTGCGTGTGTGTGTGTAAGTGTGAGGCTCAACTCAGATACTCAGGAAAAATGGGATTGAGAGGCTTAGCCTGCGAAGCCCAAAGGAAAAGGAGCAGAGAGAATTTCAGTGCTTGAGAAAAAGGACAGGAGTCAGAAGCCTGTATCACCACATGCCTCACAGCTCCACTAAAGCACTGCGCAGTGTCTGTCAGTCCTACTTCAGCTGTGTAGTTTCCATAGACTGCAGCTGTCAGACTCCAGCTGTGCTGTGCTGCAAATCTCTGTAAAAACCAATCTTTAGCATTTAAGCTCCACTGAGCACAACGTACACCTAAGAAATGTTGAGGAAAGAACACGTAGACCTATTGGATTTCTAGGACTATCTATTGTTCTAAAGGTCCCTAAATGGTTCTCTCCAGCCAGTCCTTTAAGTATAAGCTCAGTTGATCAACAGAAGGCAACTTCACAGGGCAAGTAGAATTTACTTCTCAATGGAAAACTCTGTCCAAGTTCCTATTTAACCTGCAGAAAAGCCTGAGATTGATTAGGTCGATGAGGTCTAAGGAGCGGATGACTGTATGAGCATGTTTGTGTATATTTGAGGCTCTACATTTGTGTACATTTGGATGTAAACATTTAGAGCGAGTGGCACCGATGTAAAATCAGCAGAGGAAAAACAGAGAGGTTTCTCGTGTTGACAGTGAGTCAATTTTACTCTTCCTTAAGGCAAATTACACATGGAAAACCGGTTAAGTTGTCAAAGGGGTTTTGGCTTCATGCCAAATCTGCAAAGCATGTTTGAGACCAAGCGAGGACAACGTGATCTTAATGTGTGGGACCAGAGTTGATGAATATAAAGATGCCAAAGTCACCGCTGATTAAGGCTGCAGCTGTACAGCATGTGGATGGTCTACTGTACACCACTGAAAAAAGATATGCTGCTTAACATATTTTTTTAAAGTGATTAAATTACCAGTCTCAAGTTTGGATTAAGAGGACACCGGAGAGTGAAACTGAAGCAGCCAGCTGCAGGAAAACAAACGTGTTTGATTACTTTACCGTATCTGGAAAAAAAGAAAGAATCTCACAAACCACTGTTTACTTTCCTTCTTTTGTCTCTTTTTACATTCTTCTTCTATCCTTGCCTCTCAAATAAACACATCACAGCCTCATTATCATCCTCTGTTTTTTTCTCATATGCTTCTTGCTACACAACTTCTCCACAGTCAAACATCATCTGAATGCACTGCATCAAATCAAATCAAAAGCCAACAAGAGAGATTTACTTGGACCTGAAAACAACGTGCACATCATCCAAAAAAAGGAATGTGCAGAGCATTAAAAAAAGCTGTAGAAATCAAATTGGTGAATTACAAATTCTTACTTTTGTATAAAGCAATCAAGCACTGTTTTGCCACAACTGTCATAACAGTGTGTAAATGGTAGGACATACTGCTGTACATCAAAAACCTCATCTTGTTTGTATTCAAGGAATGATGATCAAGATAGGGCATTCGTGAGGATTTGATTTACCTACCAGTGGTTTCATGACAAAATGAATAAATTGGTTAGCATTCTAATAACAAGGGCTGCTCTGCTAGGCAAAGATCTATTGCCTAACAGGGCATTTCCTGTCATTTTCTTCTCTTAATGATTGTATATATTTTGCAAAAACAAAATACATCATGTTCCCAAGTGAGGTATTTTTGGAAACGTATGATGTATCAAAACCCCAGAGGGAGAGGCTCTTTTATCAATAGAGTCAGTACTGTTGTACCAACGCTCTGTCACTGTTTTTATAGAGAAACTAAAACACAGCTCTGTACGAAGCCCTGCAGGCTGGCACATTTTACAGCAACAAACATGACACACGTGTTTGCAAAGATAGACCCACACGCATTCAAACAGAAACAGATCATATAGATAATTATTTGAAAATCAACATCGACAATTTACATGTGTGCTAATTATAGCACAGTTAATTTCTTAACATAAAGTTAAAACTTGAATGTCGGTCTGTTGTGTATCGGACCATAGAGAAAGCACAAATATGTGTAGGTTACATCTTCATTGATGTGTAGCCCGCATGTCTTTATTGAACGATTTTAATTCATTCATTCATTCAATTACATTTCTTCACTTATTCATCACCTCCACTTCAGCAGCAGCTCTCTCTCTCCCTGCGTGGACAAATTAAGTTTTCTAAATCTGAATGAAATTAAATCCTTAAATCCATGGTAACTGTGTGTGTGTGTGTGTGTGTGTGGGGGGGGGGTATGTCTTCATACAGTTTAGCACTGGGGCTCAAATCCTCTTGCTGTAATATTCCTCATCATCTTGCTGCTGTTTACGGCATTCAAAAATGCTAACCAAAGCTAATTTTAAGTGTTAGCTATCAGAACTATTACTGATGTTGCAGATATGTTTGGCACTTTTTGTGCGTGTGTTTAATTTATATTTCCAGACAAGCACAAATCTCCTGTGCTGTCGGAGCTAATGTTGCAATAATGAGGTGTTGGATTTACAGCAGCTAGAAAAAGTCAACCATAAAAATGTATAAAAATCATGGCTCTTGCTCCAGATGTCTTCACAGATAGATACACCTATCTATGGACACCAACCTGACATAAACTACTGACTGACAAAGTGGGTCTTAGTTATGCTAACTTGTTGTGTTTTACTTAGCTTAGAAAGTAAAACAATTATGCCCTCTTATAATGTAATATATCACATATCTAGCAACTGGACATTGTAATAAACTTACAGTCACATTTTACTGCCCATCAAAGTAACAGTGTTTAATATTTTTGGAAAGACTTAACTGAAAATATATGTATTAGGCTAATGTTCCAGCACAAACACCGCAGAGACTAATGTGCAATATATCACTCCAGCAGATCCATATTTCTGCTGCAGATTCAGACATTAGATAACTGACGAACAACTAAATGGCCTAACTGACTGTTATTGGACAATAAATCTTGAAAGTATTTTATCATGAGCTAATACGACGTCCACACCCAACGACTCCTTGATGTTATCACCTCTGCTAAATGAGCGGCCAGGACTGATTGTCTCCAGAGACACAGAGAGTGTCACTCATGTGTGGGGAGAGACCGTGGCATCATAAGTCAGATAGTGACAGTTGAGCCACGGATCACAGAGGGCAGAGAGTCGTGTACACAGGAAGTGCATTCCTTCCCCTCACAGTCACTGCCCCCACTGATGTTTGTTTAAACTGGGCCCTGATACATGCAGAGATTATTCCTCTGCTAAAATCTCCTCCCAATCCACTCTCTCCTCCAATACTTACAGTGTATGAGTGTGTGTTTTGTAACAACGGAATAGACTGGGACACCAAGTAATTGCCCTGTTCCCAGTGTAAGTATTCCTCCTAATTTTGGTACTGGAAATGACTCGCAGGGATTATTGCCTGAGCAATAATATCGATCAATGCATTAAGATAAAACATTCCAAATATTTCAGTGCACACGCCTGCTGTTAATCCAATTACAGTACGAATCATAATGTTTATCATAGCAAAAGTCCCAGGTCGACTGAAAATGAAATGCCTTCTTTAGACAGAGGAGGCCTGTGGTTTTCTGGAGATGATGCTGTGATTGTGTATCTGGCTCTCACCTGAGTTTATCAGCCACAAAGATGACTCTTCGCTCCAGAAGCAGAGATGCAAACACTCGTATCACCTGGCGTACACTAAGGCATTTGAACAGACTGTCAAACTCCACATGCTCCAGCCTGGAGTCAGTGGGCCGTCTCAGCTCAATGACCTGCAAGACCACAGAAGATGGTTGTTAAAAAGCAGATAACTTGACTATCACTAAAAATCTAAGTAATCTGCTCTGAGCTGCCCCGACCTCATTTCCTGCTCCAGGCAGGAAGGTCTTGACTTTGATAATCTTCCCTGGTGCTGGGAAGGGCGACTCCATCAGGCTCCTCATGAAGGGGTAGACCAGAGCTGCTGAGATGCCTCTTCTCCTCTCAACCTCATCTAGGATCTGAACACATGACACAAGAGTACAGTTTCCTTCATATGTCTGCATGTAACATCAACACAATGCAACTCTGTAAAAACTAATTTGAAAATTTTCACTATTTTTCTAACTGCTAACTGAAGAAGCACCCATACTCAAGGACAAACCTTATCAACTTTCTTACTCCTGTGTTGTAAACATACATCCGCACACAGATACACATGATAAAAACACACACACACACACTGGAATTAAACAAAAATACAAATATACCAATGTTCCAGGGCTATATTTTTTCTAACTCTAATCATGGTAGCAATGGTTGATCACAGCAAGGTTTAGCATGACAAGAGAAAAACAGAGTACTCACTGTAGAGAACAAGTCAAAGCAGCCCAGTCTGCTGATGACACAGTACACCTCTGGAAGACGAGGTCCTTTTCCAGTGGGCTGTGAAAGACATCAACAGACACTGATGAGAAACTGTGTTAAATAGACGTGACAAAGTAACTGCACACACAGACATGATTAAAGGTACTGCGTGTACCAGCAAATACACAGACTCACAGGGTCCATTTTGACACTACTCTGCACAAAAACTGTTAGCCAACCACATCACAGCAAATCTGATACGTTTATACACTGTATGTACGTGTGGTCAAGCAGACGGCTGATGTTTGAACTGCACACTGGAATATGTAAGAAAGGTGTTTCAAGTGATTTTGAACACTTCTTTAGAAACAATTACGTGCGTCAACCCTCCCCCGCCCCTCCACCCCCTCTACACCAGAGAAAGATTTAAACTCCATAACCAAAGTTTCAGGAAAAAAATGTGTTAACATTGAAAGTGAGACATTATTATTATTCCAGGTTTCTTTTGAATCCTTTCATAGTCTAATAATACTAATGTATTTCTGTTATCAACAAACCAGGGTCTGACCATGATAATATAATACAAAGATAAGGTGTTTACACTACGGCTGTCTGAAAGTCTTACATCTAATCTGTCACTAAAGTCTTTCATGTAGACAGAACCTTCCCAAACACAGGTGCTTTATCTGCTCTGCTGATCATATCTACCTTCCTCTGTAAACTCAACACGCTATTATGTGTTTCCAGAAAGCCGATGCACAGACAGAGACGCTCAAAACACTGAGACACAAGTGAACACAAGCACTCAAGAAATGCCAATTCACTTGTCCATATTAGGTATA